GGAGGAGGAGGAGGAGAAGAAGAAGTGCTTTGCTTTTTACTCTTGAGGGCAAGGCCAGGGTTACCCATGAGAGTGGTATTGTCATCACTGAGGCACACAGGAGGATGGTGGCCAGAGAGTAAGGGGATAGTGGGTGATGGCGGGGATAGAGAAAGGGCTAGAAGAGAAAGTCTTGAAGCTTTAGATCCAGGTGACCTGGGACAGTAAGAAAGGCTTCAATTTTCCTCGCCTGTGCTTTTGCTCTGTTGCTAAATCATGAATCTGAGCCAACCCCAAAGGGAACCTGTAGAGTAAATTGAAGTGGGAGGAGGTAAGTGAATAGAACTAAGGAGTAGGATGGATGGAGCCCTGCATCCAGCGTTTACTTGCTAGTGGCTCTTCAAGTGGTCCCCATCACAGCAAGCGGCAGGGTAACCCAGGATGTGTGTCTTAAATCAAGAAAGTGTAGGCCTCAAGAAGGAAATCAGGCTAATGGACACCTGCTGTGGGTTTTGTAGACAACTAAGGTATGTAAGTGGAGGGGAGTCCAATAGTCAGAAACCATGAGTCGACTTCCTGTAAGCCACTAAAATTGGGTTCCCTCTCTCTCTCTCTCTCTCTCTCTCTCTCTCTCTCTCTCTCTCTCTCATCCCAAAGGGATAGAACTCAGTGCAAGGCCTTGGCCATAGTGATAAATGTCACACAGAAATGAGTCTATCTTCCAGTGAGCCCCTTGGGTTCTGCAAAGAGGGTACTGCTGTGGCGGTTATAAAGATAAGTCATTGCAACGCTCCAAATATCCTATTTTATGAGTAGGAATTCTGGAAAATAGAGAAATTCATGAAGAATAAAATACAAACTCAGGGTCTAATGGTGAGGTTTAGTAGTAAGACATTGACTTAGCATGAATGAGGCCCTAGGTTGAATCCTGCACACACACACACACACACACACACACACACACACACACACACAAGTCAACAACAAAAAACCCTGAAATTCTGCTACCCAGTGGTAATAATAGCTCCTATTTTTTTTTATTTTAAAAGTGAGAGCTACATTTTACATTTCATTTGATGCTTTGCTCTTAAAATTAACCTAGCCTAGTTTGGCCAGCAAAATGGCTCAGTGAGTAAAGGCTCTTGCTGCTAAACCTAATAACGAGTTCAGTTCCCAGAACCACATGATAGAAAGAGAGAACCAACTCCTGAGCACTGTCCTCTGATATTTGACTCTGTACATATGACTTGGCATACGTGAGAAAACACCTGGTCAGGCATGATGAGTAATAGCACTCACTTAGCTGAGGCAAAGAGATTTTAATTTCAAGACCAGTCTATGGTACAGACTGAGATCCTGTCTCAAAAAAATAAGATAAAATGAGAAAGAGAGAGAGAGTAAAAGAAATGAAGGAGGAAAGAAAGGAAGAGACAATAGAGTGGGGGGAAAACTTTTGTAATAATTTTCAAAGTCATATCCTATTATTTAAAAATATAAACTTAAAGGTTCAATAGCATTCCATTTATAGAGGTAACAACACATTTAAGCATTTTCCAGTTGTGGAACCTAATTTCTTTAAAGTTTGACACTTTATTATTAAATTATTATAAACTTCTAGTGGAAGAGTTGGATCCATTTATAATCATTATCACACTATGTTTGCTGATTTATTATTATTATTATTATCATTATTATTATTATTATTATTGAGGCAGGGTTTCTCTGTGTAGCCTTGGCTGTCCTAAAACTCACTCTATAGACCAGGCTGGCCTCAAACTAAGATCTGCCTGCCTCTGCCTCCTGAGTGCTGGAAGTAAAGGTGGGTACCACCACCTATTGGCTATTGGTCATTTTATGTTCTTGCTGTTTGATTGTTGCATTCTGATCTCTTATAATACAAAATATAATTGCTTCTCTCTCAAATAATTACAGGTTTTAAGTTCCCATTTTACTCTGCTAATAATTAAATTTTTGAAAAATTGTTCATTTCCTTCATCAGCATCATGAATGAAATGTTATCTTTGATATCACCCTGTGGAGTTCAAACTTTTAACACATTAGCATTCCATTTTATATTGTTATAACTGAATAGCACCCAGTGAGTAATATATAAAGCACAGGCATGTGTTCAGCTCATCAATCTGAAGGCTGAACAGTCTGAGAGTATGATGCCTGTATAGGCTACTTTTCCCATTGCTACGACTAATACTTGACAAGGGCAACTTAAGGAAAGAAGATTTTGGCTCACAGCTTTAGGGTACAATGCTTCCTGGCAAAGAAGTAATGGCACAATGCTGCTGTTTTCCCTACTACCACCAAAACTCTCATATCTGTTTGCACACACCCACACACACACACAGTTGCATGTTCACAATTTATTTATACACATGTATGTTGAGGCCAAGAAGTCAACATTGTGTCTTACTCGATTGCGCTCTACCTTATTATAAAAAAAGTAAAAAACATTTATTTTTATTTTATGTCAAGGAGAGTTTTGTCCACATGTATATCTGTATGTACAAGCCTGGTGCCCATGAAGGCCATAGAGGGTGTTGGATCTCCTGGATCAGGAGTTACTGATAGTTGTTAGCTGTCATTTAGGTGCTGGGAGTTGAACCCATATTGTTTGCAAGACCTTTAAGTACTCTTTAACCACTGAGTCTTATCTCTAGCCCTTTTGAGACTGAACTCACCAATTCTGCCAGACTGACTGGCCAGCAAGCCCCAAGGACTTACTGTCTCTGACTCCTTAGTGCTGGGATGGAAAGCATAATCAGTTTTTTTCTGTGGGTGTTGGGAATCAAAAATCAGGTCTTTACATGTATAGGGCAAGCCTTTTACAAACTGAAAGTCTCCCAACCCTTCGTTGCTCTGTTAGTTCAGTCCAGAACCCTAGTCCTTTGAATGTTACCATATTTAAGGTAAGTCCTCCCTTTTCATTTAAATATTCCTGGAAACATCGTCACTGACAGATCCAGAGGTATGTCCCTATGGTGATTCTGAATCTTGTCACCTTAACAATGAAGCTTGCACATCAGAGTCCCAGTATCTGCTCTGCTTTATCCGTGTTGTAACACAACAATGGAAACATAGGAGCTCTGTCTAGAAAACATTTTAATCCAAAGCCACTCCATCTATATGTTCCATGAATTCATTGATCCAGAGCCATCATGACCCCATCATCTTTCACAGGTCCCACCTTAATTCATATTCCAACACATGAAACTTGAGGAATACCTACAAATCACAGCATGCTTTTCCTTCTTGCTCCTTTCCTTACCCTATTCTACATAGCACATCTTTAAGATATAATCTGGGACTCCATATGTGATTATTTTACCATTGGTATCATGTTTCCCTTGTCATGAGTTCCTTTTCTCTTTTACATTATTTGTCCAGTGAAAGCAACAGCATTATTTTTGCCCTTCATTGTTTTGCTTATTGATTTACTATTGATACTTATTTTATAACACAATTTCATACTTGTGTTCTTTCTTCTGATCCCATGCTGCAGCTCATCAACAAGTAGTTGAAGAACAGAAAATAAAAGACTCGATATCTGAGACTGTCTTTCCTCTCAATGGGCAGTCATTTCATTTGCTCAAAATCTGTAGATTTTTTTTCTATTGTTTTCAGATATTTAATTCTATGATGGAGAATGTTTTTGACTGATTTTATTAATTCTTAGGTACCCTGGGCACTTCAAGTATCGCAGAAATATATGTGATGTTCCGTAATCTCACACTATCAGAAATTGTCTTACAAATTTCATTATTGCACACACTTCAACTGTTGTGTCTGTGGTGTTCTATGCCCCTCAGTTCTGATAGAGTAAAGGCTTAAGCTCTATGGCCATGCCTTCTCTCTGTTCTTATGATGTCCACCCCTTGATCCTTTTTTCTGTGAGCTTAATTTATCATTATGACTGTGCTGTACTTTTTGCTCCACTGGGCTTTACATCCAACAATCATATTTTTTCATCTTTAAGAAGCATGTTTTTATTTGCACTGTTGATCATCATTGCTTGATGATATCTGATAAACACAATTCCTTTCTGCTTCTTCTCTTTCTCACAGCAAGTCTATTCTACAGGAAGACATTTGTTCTAACACTGAAGTTTTATTGTATGTGTGTTGATCTACAGTGTCTTATTTACGTTCAAATAATACTTCTCATTGCCCATCAATATGGATAGACTTTCCCCTGTCTTATCTATTGCACACACAAGTAAAGTTAGAGGAAGTTAAAATAATTATTTGTGCTTTTTAAAAACCTATTTATTTTGTTTGTGTAGCAGGCAGAGGACAACTTTTGAGAGTTCATTCTCCCCTTCTACCATGTGTGTCACAGGAATCAAACTCAGATCATCAGGCTTGGTGGAGAGCACCTTCCTTCAGCTGCTAAACCATCTTACTGGGCCTGGTTTGAATTTTTAGATGCACTGTTCTTAGCAACATGAGTGACTTTCAAGACATCTCTGTCATCATCCTCCAGTAATATCTGTATTACCTACCCTCTTAAATAGAACCATTACTATAGAACCATTATCACCAGCAGTCTGTGGAGGGCCTACTCCTTGCCAGAAGTAAAGGCAGTGATGAGCCAGATAAAGTCTTCCTCTGTCCTCAGTGGCTTAGAAGTCTGGGGGTAGCATAGCTATAAATAGTATAGGGACAATTGCCTTAAGAGGAGGAACTATCAGACCAAAGATGAAGAAGACCCCACCTCTGTATTTGAAGTATGGGGGAATGTGTAAAACATTCTGTAAAACCTAAAAGACGTTAATCTGTAGTCACCCTGGGCTCCAGTTTTTCCCGGTGTCATGCGGAACTAATGGGTAAAAGCTCCCTCAATGGTAAGGAGACAGATACCAGGAGAAAATGGCAGTAACTTATTACTCAAAAAGTAAGTCATACAGATTAGAGGACAGAGAGGGAAGCCTCTGGAGAAGCCAAATGTGTGTAGAAAATGGACAGGGGGAGACAGAATGGAAGGTGTTAAGACCTCTGAACCATGGAACAATGGCCGTAGAGGGAAAGAAGTCCTTGGCGATCAAGGGGGTGTGTGTAAATTTTATCTCAAGTGTAAAGAGCAAGGAAAGAGGATTTGACCAGGTAAGAGACTGAGGGCTAAAATAAGCAGAGTGCCCCAGTCTCTGACACAGCCTGTGAAACACATAAACTGAGAGCCAGAAGACCAGTGTGGAGATATAATGGTGCATGGTACAATGCAGGTAGAGATACATTGGCAGGTTTCAGGGGTCTAAGGAATAAAAGCCAGTCACTTCCTCCCAGCCATCCTTCAACTCAGTGTTCCACCCACCTGAGCTAGCACAGACACACAGGCAACAACAACAACAACAACAAAATGCTCATTTATGCTGTAGTTATCTGTTGTGCATGACAAGAGATTGAAAATGGCAACATTGAAGGTGACAATGCCTGTTACAGGCAGAGGGATGACAAAACACAACTAATGATTAGGTAAGAATTATTGATTCATGTAAAACGTCCACACAATAAAATGGGATTCAAATTCTCCAAGTCTAATGCAGTGGCCAAGGAAGCCTGTATCAAAGCATTTGGGAGGCTGAGGCAGGAAGATTGCGAGCTTTTGCCATACAATGAGACAGTGTTTTAAAACTAAACCAAAATCAAACAAAATTTATCCCCTCCAAATTACTTTACTGCTTCAAAGGTAAAAGTTAAGATGTAGCAGACAAATCTAGCAGACACCACCTAAATAAGCCACATGAGAAAAGTCTGAATTGCCAAGAAGGGGCAAATGGACATCTTGTACCTCTGGAGGAGAACATCAGGTCACTTTAGTGTTTCTGCCAGAACCGCAAATGAGGGACATTCCACAAAATAAATTGCTGGTATAAAGTATGGGGGGTGGAGGGGGAGATAAAACCCTTGAGGAAACATTAAGACCAGATCTGAAGATCTGACTATATTCTGGAACCTATCCTGAGAAACTAGTAAAATTTCAATAGCACTGTATAGCAAATGTCCTGGGTTTTGTTTATTTGTGGGTTTGGGGTTTTTTGTTTGTTTGTGTTGCTTTGTCTTTTGTTTTTGTTTCTTTCAGAGAATCTTGCTATTATGGAACCCAAGTGGAGATACTGAAATGAGGGGAAAGTAGTGATTTACAGCAACAATAACCACCTCATACAGCTCCGTGGGGTACCTAACAAGCTTGACTGCTTCATCTGTCTCCATTCATGTGGCTATAGGTCCTACACACCCAGTACTTGAGCTAGTGGCTCACAATTCTCCAGCATGTAGCTCCTCCCCCTGGGGACCCTGGAGGACCCCAATCATGATGTTCCCTGGCCATACTCCATGAGGATGAAAAGCTGCAAGCCTCTGGAATACACATGTCATTTCTTTTTCCTTTCTTCTTTCTTTCTTTCTTTCTTTCTTTCTTTCTTTCTTTCTTTCTTTTTCTTTTCAATATTGTGATGGACAAGGCTCTTTCCAAGGCCAGCCCAGACCCATAGGGTAGGGGAGAGAACTCTCCTTTTGGTTCAAGGATCACTGAAGAATAGTGACCATATTTAATTCACCAAGTATGCTCCTTGCTGGCCCTTCCCCTCTGATGTCTCCTTATACATTAGAATATTTTTTAAATCAAATAGTCATGGAAGTAGTTCATTTGCAAGAGGGTTTGGTAGAAGACTTCTTTTCAAACTAATTGCAAAATATCTTTATATTAATATGCAGCACATTTCTCTTATCTCCTTGTATAAATGTACACTTTCTTAATGAATTTGGTTTTATGAATCTTTTGATAAGGCTATTTACCACTTACAGATACTGTTCTGCTTATGGTTTGGAAACTTGTTCCCTACTCCATAACATTTAGGGGAAGGATATGTCAAAATTCATTCAATTATGAGGGTTTTGGCCTCGAGGGTAGATTGTTTTAATTACAGAAGTGACTTTGTTTTTAAAATGGAGTTCATGCCTCACTCTTGCCCTTTGTTTTGCTTGTCTTCAGTACGAAAGGACTCAGTCAAAAGTAAGCAGTGTGCTCTGCATGATGCGTCCTCCAGTGCCAGGACTTTATCACAGACCCCATCTCATGTATTCGGAGACACAACATGGTGTACTAAGATATGCCACTTATGGAATGTCCGTTGGCTTTGAGATTCCACTATAAATGCCTCATGTCACACTTTCTCAGGAATATGATATATATATATATATTTTTTTTCTCCAAGTCTGCAAATGTTCTTTTTGTCCTGTTAAGTTTTATTCAAGGGGAAAATGTAATGTAGTTAAATTTATCAACATTTTCTTCCACAGTTGGTGCTTTTCCATTGCATCTAAAACATCTTTGCCTAATCTGAAGTTTTAAAGGTTTTTCCCTATTGCTTCTTTAAGTTTTAAGCTCTAGATAGTAAATGGCGGTCTATGGTGTATTCTCATAGTTTTATACACAACTTGTATGAATTATATTTAATTTATCCATACGTACATTTTCGATTGTGTTAGTGTCTTTGTCAAAAGGACTACTGAGCTTATCCTCCTGAACTGTGTAACTGTGCGTTGGGACAGTGATATGCAAGTGTTCGCTGGGCAGTGCTAAAAATGTTCCCATTCCCCCTTGACACCAGGCCTTGAGTTTCCACCTGACCTCAAACAGTAGTCAAGTAAGTAGGCCCTGTCACAGAGACAAGCTGACCATGGGACTCACTAGGCCTACTTTGGTTACTGTTTGACATTTTGTGTAAAAGAGAAAAGAGAGAGACAGAGACAAAGACAGAGAGACAGAGGCAGTGACAGAGACAGAGACATAGAGAAAGAGATTATTTTATAACCTCTGATGCTTGGTCTAGTATTCCAATAGACAGACAGAGGGACAGAAGGGAGAAAAGAAGGATGGATAGATGGATGAATAAATGAATCAAAAAGTGGTCAGAGAGATAGGTGGGCTAATGTATGGTGAGAGGAATTGTAGAAGGATGGGTGTGTGAAAGGAGGAAGGAGGGGGTAGAAGGGTGGCCAGAAGAGGCTGGTTGGGGAAAGGAGGGTGATGGAAGCACAGTTGCAGAGACATGAATCTCATCTCTACTCACTGACCTGATGCTCAGGTCTGGCCTCCCACAGGGAGTTTCCTGGTCCCCTGGTCATGCTCATTGTAGAGGGGATGCTGCTCTTGTACCTGGAGCTGGCTGTGGGGCAGCGCATGCGGCAAGGCAGCATCGGTGCCTGGAGGTGCCCCTACCTCAGTGGTGTCGGTATGTGGGACCCTTCTCAGTTCCTCTGACAGAGATTTTGTGGGTTTCTGAGCATCACTGGTATGCATGGGCTGGACCTGTGACTGGATGAACCAACTCCCAAAGAGGGCTACCATGGAGCTCGGGCAGAGAGGGCCCTGGATTCTGACCCTCACATGGTACCCCATCCCACCCCCAATGAAACTTCCACCTTAGGGCATCTCCACTCTGGACCTCAGCTTGATATTCTCTGACTGGCTGGACATAGCATTCATTTCGTCCCAGCTACCTATCCTCTGGGGATGTACACAAATGCCACCCCCTGCTTAATGTGTGCCTGGTGCTGAACATGGCATGCACGAGTGTGAGGTCATTTCATCTTCACCACACCACTTAGGGGCGTTGGGGCATCATAGTGATACCTGGATGCACAAGCCAAGCATCTATGTGAACATACCAGGTGTGGCCTACTGCACCCTTCCAGAGTGACCTTCAGTCACTGTCCCCTGGCACCTCCATGATGTGATTCTCCTAGTTTGTAAAAGACCAGGATCTAGAGCCATCAGAGTTCATACATGTTCTGTGTACTTTTCATGTCCAAGAAAGGGAAGCAGACAGGAAGCCTGAGCCATTGTTTAGGAATGAGGAAGGGTCCACCTGATGTGACCTCCTGCATCTTTGGAAGAAATATGTCCGGGGTATTAGAACTCATCATCTTCAAACTGCCTCCTCATGATGAAGAGCTATGAAGGCCATCAGAGTGTGCTGAGGCAGCAATGTATGCTGTATATTGGAAAACAGGGGAGACTGCCTGGCCCCTTGGGCACTGACATGCACTTACTGGCCTGAGTTCCCAGTGGAGTGGGAGGAGTTGCTCTGTAATGCTATTGATACCTGTATAGTCTGCCACATGCAAGTCAACAACTTACAACTCTTCTGGTTATGTGTGGGATGACAAAGGTTGACAACACTCCCAAGTAAACTCACTTTAGAGCAACCTAATGGCAAACTCTCACTTCTCACAGTGATACCCACTGTGGGACCTCATAGATCAGACCAGGCTGGGGGTAAGTGTTGTCTGTCTGTCACACTCCTGCCACATGGATGGGGCTGGCTCCAGGAACTCGACCTCCAAAAGGAGCAAGTTCACATCAGGCATGTAGTTGGCCCTTCTCCATAGCTCTGCTGGGTAGTTTTGGGAAAGCTCTGAGTTTTAGTTTGCTATTTGGAAGGAGGATAATGCTTTTGTGTGAACTAACTGCACACAAAATACTGAGCCCAGGACCTGACACTTAGATGTCAAAAAACCAATACTGATCTACCATCTCAGATGATCAGAGTTGAGGGGTAGTAATTCCCAAGAAGATGTCATAGGTGTGGTATCAGGTCTAATGAAAGCCTAAAGGAAGAGTGTTCTTGTTTGGGGATGTCACCATAGTTGTGTCATTCAAGTCCCACTGGTTAAATTACACACATCTGATCTTCAGCATGGCCCTCTGCTTTGCTCACAGGTGTTGCTAGTGTGGTGGTCTCCTCCTTCCTCTCAATGTACTACAATGTCATCAATGCCTGGGGCTTCTGGTATCTCTTCCACTCCTTCCAGGTAAGCCAACCTTTGGCCAGAGCAAAAGCAAAAAGGGTAGAAAATGCAGGGCCACTCACCAAGTGGGGAGCTGGTAGAGGGTGAGAACGCCAGCCTGTGGGAACCCTCTCAGTGAGGGGGGAGCGTGATGGGAGCCACAAGCCAAGCAGGGATGACAGAATCTGGATCCACTACTTGTCAAAATGTAAGCCAAACTATGCACTGTGTGTGTGTGCGTGCGCATGCGTGTGTGTTTGCATGTGCGTACACACATGTGCACACTCATTTCTGAGGAGCAGGTCCACAGCACTCATTGGAATATCTACAGGAATATTTTCAATGACAAGCATTTTAAACAGTGCATTATCTAAATTCTTGTTACTGATATTCTGGAAGGGTCTAGGCTTTGTGGAAAATAAATAAATGCCACAATTCCACACTGAGCGCTGGAATGTTCCTCTCCACCAGTCATATTCTATCCCACCCCACCCCCATCTTCATCCTTTTTACTCCCAGAGACTCTAATCCCACTGCCTCCATATCAGCCTCTTTCCAGATGGAAAAAGAAGAGAAGGACCCAGGAATTACCACTCTAATATCCATGCATTCCATACTTCACAAAAATCCCCCCCCCTTACCTCTGCAGTAAATCCTCTCCCAAGGTCATAGGATAATGACACAGCAGACCTTCACTTGGACGTCTATGGGCCATGCAGGTCCCCCGGAACATATAAATCTACACTGGCATGGCCATATACACGACATAAGAGCTTTTGTTCAATCCCACGAGCTACAAGTGACTCTACAGGACTCTACTTTATGAGAGGGTGTCGGTCCTTCTTAGCGGGTACCTTTAGCCAAGCAAATGTAAGGACCCTATCTTTACCTTCTGATGCAGATGAAGGGAGAAGAAAACTGAAAATCTCTCAGTTGTTCCATGCCCTAGAGCTTCTTCATGTAGCATGTTCATTGGCAGGAATATTAAAAAAAAAATAAAAACAAAAACAAACAAAAAAAAAACACTGAAGTCAAGCTCATCTCAAGCAAAGGACCCCAGAGGTATCCTCAGATTTGCAGCCAAATATGTGAAACAGTGTGAGTTAGAGTGGCCTCAGCAGAGGGCCCAGAGAATGTCGGCTAGGCAACTGAGCTTAGAGGTCTTCTGTTTCTTAGCTGGGACCTGCTGCTGGTTCCATCAGATACCACAGTGTCTCCCTCCTGTGGCCTGTCCATCCAAATGGGCTCAGTGTTCAAGATTCTAACTCAAGTACGTTCACAGCTTTTTTTAAAATTGTTTTTAAAGTTTATCTTATTTATTTTATGTATATGGGTGTTTCACCTGAATGTCTATGTACAACATGCATGCCTGGTGCCTGCAGAGGCCAGGAGAGCGTGTCAAATTCCCTGGGACTAGAGTTACAGAAGGGGAGCCATCCTATGGTTACTGGGACTCTAACCTGGGGAAAAACAGCCAGTACCCTTAACTAGTGAGCCATCTCTCCAGCCCTACAACTGGTTTTGAACAGGGTAGCTACAAGGATCTGGAAAGACTACGCCAGGAAGCCTCTGATCCACTGTACTCTGTTGTTTCGCGCAAGCCAGGCTAGCCCATATTTTCAGGACAAGGTGTGAAGCCTCCTGTCAAAGATGCTTCCTATCATCCCACCAAGCCCTTGGCCTTTCCCTTGACTCTCTGTTGATTCTCACTTCATTCCAAAGGATCCCCTGCCGTGGTCTGTCTGCCCACTGAATGGTAACCGCACAGGCTACGACGAGGAGTATGAAAAGGCTTCGTCAATGCAGTACTTCTGGTGCAGGAAAACACTCAACATCTCACCATCCATCCAGGAGAATGGAGGAGTGCAGTGGGAGCCAGCACTGTGCCTCATCCTGGCCTGGCTGATGGTGTATCTGTGCATCCTGAGGGGCACTGAGTCAACCAGCAAGGTGTGCTAGGGAGTGTCATGGGACTGAATCTGGTCCATGCTAGGAGCTGTCTCTTGCTGTCCAGAGTAGAGGCTCAGTGGGTCAGAAGGCATGGATGGTGTTATTGGCATGTCCCTGTACTAGCTGACAGTGGAGGGTGTCAGAAGTGATTAAAGTTGTAGCACTGAATCTGAAATGACAGGCCCCAGCCAGTTCTCACACTCACCTGTACCAGGTCATTTCATGGAGATATTCAAACACCCTGCTATTCAGTCCTTGCACCTCAAATGCCAGAGCTATTATTCTGTGGAGGGAACCTCAACATCAGACTAGCCAGCCTCTGGGGACTTTATTGTGTAGTTGGATTTGGGGTCCCATTTCAAAGTGCTTTCAGGAAATCAATACTACCCAGAACTGTTGGGTTCTCCCTTGTTTTTTGTTTTGTTTTGTTTTGTTTTGTTTTGTTCTGTTGTGTGGTATGGGGTTTTAGTTCTTGTTTTGGCTTTTATTTTTAAAGTGTCTCCTTATGTACTTCAGGCTGGCATGAAACTGGCTGAACGGCCCAAGTTGGCCTCAAACTCAGTGATCCTCCTGACTCAGCCTTCTGAGTGTTGGGATTTTAGGCCACAGATATGCCAAAATACCCAGCAAAGGCCTTTTATTTGCCTAAGCTCGTTCTTTCTGTTGAAATGCCCAGGTTTCCATTCATCCTAGGGCTGGAGTATCTGCTGTATTTCCCTCACCCATACCTGTTTCAAGCTGGGGTGAATGCTCCATACTCAGCTATTCAGCAAAGCAAATCGATAGTTGATCACGGTGTCTTATTCTTGTAACAGCCCCTCAGAGTAGATACATGAGGTCACTCCCAAAAGGCTTAGATAGGCAAAGTATTCTTCACAAAATCACAGCCAGGGACTGCACACTCAGGACATAGACCAGATTTACTCCAAGCTCTTCCCATCCTATTGGTGAAATGCAGCATGAATGTTCTCTTCACATCTTTTGTGACTTAGTCATTTACAATTTGTCTTCTTCTGAGAATCCCATGAGACCCCTAGATCTCACTCTTCTGATCACCTGCCTGCCTTCTCCAGTACTGACATGTTTGTTTGCTTTTGTTCTTTCATGAGGCATCAAGCTTAGAACAACCTATGTCATTGAGATATTGCCCCCCCCCCCCCATGACAACACCAATGTTGTGCCTGGCGTGACATTTCACATTGTTTTCTAAGTCCCCATAGTGGCCAGCCCCACATAGTCATCTTAGCCCCACAGCACTTTGCCTCACAGCTGAGCATAAGAATCAGGGTGTTCTTTCTCAGCTGAGCTCAGACCTTGCAGCATCTTCTCTGTCCCAACCTAGACCAAGCATGATCCAAAAGATCTAAGGGCGATGTCTGTACCCTTGAATATTAAAGCAGTCCTTTCCTCTCCAGGCCTCTTATAGTTGTGAAAATAAGTAGAGTCTGGACATTATTCTCCTCTGAAGTTTTACTTACTGGTCAGTGTTATTTCTCCTGATAGGTTAAGCTAAAGCTAGATCACATGTCCAGCCATCCTTCCCACAAGAAAAAGAAGGAAGCCACTTTGTGAGGTCTCTAGAAAGCCCATAAGAAACACGGACCACTGGCGGGGTAGGGGGGAAGTCCAGAGCTTTCCCCAAATGTCTTCTAAGTGCCCAGTGTAATGGACCGGGATCAGACCTCCACCATGCCCCTGAATTTCTTTCACATCACTGGCAAAAAGATTCTTATCCATTTGCATCTCACCTGGTTTGACATATTAGATATTTGGGTAAATTCACTAACCCCCTAAATGTGTAAGCAGCCATGGTAAACATATATCCCACTTTCTCAGTGTCCTTCTGACAGTCTTAGAAGTTCATGAAGTATGGTGCCATGCCAAGGAAGAAATGGAAGTCTGAGATTAATTCAAGCATATCAAGATATGGGTTACTAGCTGGGTTTCTCAGAGGTGGATCCAACCTAAAAGAAGATTGATAAAACAAAACCAACCTTGTGAAAAGTTTTGTTTCGTTTTGTTTTTGTCTATGAATCTAGGCAAAATCCCTTACAGTTTTATGCCCATGATACATTGTTTTTAAATTTTATTTATTAACATAATATCCGTGCTTGCTTATGAAGGGCCTGATGCTTTGATACAAGTATGAAACACATAGCAGCTAGACCAATGCCACTAACATTTCCTTCTCCTCATACATGAATTATATATACATTTTTTTACTCTTCTAGTTATTTTTATGTATCATGGATTCTTGTAGATTAGAGTTACCTATAGTGCTGGGCAAAGAAGCAATGATTTCTGCTTCTAATTCCTGTATTTTGGTGACTCTTGTCTAACCTCTGTCTTCCCTCGCTGCCTTTCCCATCTTCTTGGAGGTTCATTTACCACTTTCTACAAATGAGTGCAAAAAATGCATTATTTGTCTATGATTTGTTTTATTTACCATGATGCCTGAACTTGTCTATACCTTTACATGTGACAAGATTTCATTCTTTTTATGGCTAAGTAGTATTCCTTTGTGGATACATACCATGTGATTTCTATATGTTCACTTTCCATGGATGGTTTTATATCCTAGATTTTTTTTAAAGGAATATCACAGTAAAAATGAGAGTGCTGCTATATCCTTGACACATGGCTTTTAAGATCCCTTTGCAATAATATCTAATTGTGGTTTTTATTTGTATTCCCTTGAAGATTAATGATGCTGAATTTTTGTTCATATATTTGCTGGCTATTTGTGTCTTAACTTTTTAGATGTATTTATTTTATTTGACACATATGAGTATTTTGCTTGCATGTGTATGTGTATGCCACATGTATGTCTGACACTCGCAGGGATAAGAAGAGGGCTATGACAGTGGTTATGAGTTGCCAGGTGGGTGCTGGAAACTGAACCCAGGTCCTCTGCAGGAACAGCAGGCGCTCTTAACCACTGAGCCAACCCTAAAGTTCCCTCATGTCTTTTTAAATAAATGTCTATGTAGCCCATTTCTTTGCCCATTTTTTAAGGTGGACTCTTTGCTCTCCAGTTGTTTGAGCTCTGAATAAAAAGAATTAAGGGAATGAGAGGTATTGGCAATAAAACTGTGAAAATATTAATGAAAGATGTCAAGATGACTCCAGGAAAGGAAAGATACTCTATGGAGCAGAAGATGTCCTAGTTAATTTTCTGTTCCTGTGAAGAGACACTATGTTCTATGTACTCTGTACTCTGTACTATGTACTATGTACTCTGTACTATGCTTATCAAAAAGAAGAATTTAATTGAGACTTTGCTTACAGTTTCTTTGAGTCTATGATTGTGGCAGGAAGTGTGGCAGCAGGCAGGCAGGAAGAATGCCTGCTTATATCTAATCCACAGGCAAGAGGCAGAGGGAGGGGAAGGGTGAATGGAGAAGGAGGAGGAGGTAGGAGATGGGAGAAGAAAGAGAGAGATTGGGTTCAACCTGGGCTCCCTCAGTGGCATACACACTCCCTTCAACAAGGCCACTTCTCCTAACCTTCTAAAATAGTTCTACCCACTGTGAACAAAGGGCTCAAATATATGAGCCTGTGGGGGCCATTCTCATTCAAACCATCACAGAGTTGGTATTATTATTATTATTATTATTATTATTATTATTATTATTAAAGTGTACATACTACCCAAGACAGTTTACAGATCCAGTTCAATCCTTACCAATAGTAATATTCATAGAATCAGAAAAAAAATCTTAAAATCTACATGACACTATTGAATAAAAGAACGAAACTGAAGTCATATTAATACCTGATTTTAAGTCTGTCTACAATGTGTCTGGTATTGGCTTGAGAAAAGACAAGGAGACAAGTAGAACATAGTAGAGTACCTGGAAAACCACATATTTCTGTCAAAGACACCACGAGAATACATTGGAAAGCCATCAAATCAATTGCTGATGCTAGAGCCACATCTCACATGCTGTACAAAAGTCCAAAGTATGAAAAGTCTAAGGTGAAACACTTGAAGACTTAGATTTTTGTGTACCTATGTTTTGGGATAAGACCCGAAAACTTGCAACAAAGTAAAAACCAGTAGGATTACATCAAAGAAAGAACTTTCTGTGCAATAAAAGACATAGTCAATATCATGAAGAAAATATTTAGGAACTCACACACACATTCACAGATTAAGGGGGAGACTTAAATAAATAATATTGTTTTGTTAGCAGTTTTACAAAGTAATGACAATTTTAAAATAGTAAATACATAAAAACCAAATTTAATTATGGCATTTTAATACATAAGTATCATTGCTCCTTATTCTTATTCACCCTCTCTCTATCCTCCCTCTTTACCCCTTCTTTCTGGTATAATTTAGAGGGAAAATACATGTTTGAGGTGTAAGAATAGAGGAATTACTATAAAAGTGCAAAAAGAATAGTCATAAAAAACTGCTCAAGTACGATGATTGTGGTTGATACATTGTTTATGAACTAATAAAGCAATGAAGATCAGAGAAGCAAAGCATCAAGGCTACCAGAGAGCTCGGTCCTGTACCAGGGCTGGAGAGATATTATCCATAGCAAGCTGGAGACAAATTGCCAAGACTAAATCCTTAATGCCCTGCTCCTATCTTATATATTAGTGCTGGGGTTTAAAGCTGTGAGCTCTGTTTCTCTTTTAGACTGATTCACTTCTCATGTAGCCCTGGATGGCCTTGTAAATCTAACATTAAGTATTTTTGGTTTTTATGTTTTCTTACTCTCTGTTGTTGACTGTGGCCTTCTCTTGTGGCTCACCTTTTAGTTAAACTCTGTAGGGATATGGAAGAGTGTTATCTCTCCCTCCGTCTTTGTTCCAGGGGATTGGGTTTTGATTTAGGAACATGCTTTCTCTCATTCACCTAACTCTGTCAGATAATTTCCTTTGTGAATGTCTTTGCATATCTTCTGTTACATTGCTATTGTAAATAGTGTCTTTCTCCTTATTTCTACGGTTGTTTATGTTGGTGGCAGAAGAAACAAACATTTTTTTATGTTAGTCTTGTACCTTGAAATCTTGATGCATTTCCTAATGAATTCTCACAACTACAGATTGCTTCTGTTTACTCTATAAACTATCCTATAACCTGCGGATATGATTTAGCACATTTCTTTTCAGTGTCTGTATTTCAACCCTTTTTTATTGTGGTTTCACTATTATTACTGATTTTATTGGAGTCTCAGGCACAATTGTTTTCCTGTACTTTGAACACAGTGAAATTCCAAGTGTTAGGTGAACACTCTGACTAGTTCTTTGATTTACTATAAAGGCTTTTTCAGACTGCTTTTAGAGAATACTTTCAAGGCCAGGATAAAGTTTCCATGGCCTTTGCTTATTGGTTAGGTTAGGGAGTAGTTGGTTGGTTTTTTTTTTTGTTTGTTTGTTTGTTTTGTTTTGTTTTGTTTTGTTTTCTTTGGTGGGGTTTACCATTGTCCACGGAGAGATACAACACTTTCCTCCTTTTGCTTGTTGTTCTAGTTAGAGTAATAATTGCTATGAGGAAAGGCCATGACCCAAAGCAAGTTGGGGAGGAAAGGGTTTATTTGGCTTACACCTCCATCAGGAACTCAAGGTAGATTCCTGTAGATAAGAACTGATGTAGAGGCCACAGAGGGTTGCTGCTTACTGGCTTGCTCATGGCATGATCAGCTTACGTTCTTTAAGAACTCAGTACCACCAGGCCAAGGATGGCACCAGCCACAATGGGCTGCTCCCCTCCCCATCACTAATTAAGAAAATGCCCTGCAACTTATGGAAGCATCTTCTCAGTTGTGGTCCCCTCCTTTCAGATAACTCTAGTTTGTGTTAAGTTGAAATAAAACTAACCAGCACCATTGTAAAGCTCTGAGCCCTGCCTATAGGATCTATAGCCTGACCCTCCATTCCTGACAACACAGACACGCAGACGCTGACACCCAGGATTCGAGATCTAGATCCCACTTGGGCATCTATGGCTCCTGTTCTAAACTTTGGCATCCATTCAGTTCCCTTCTTTTGGTTCTGACACTTAGTTTTTCCTCGCTTTTGTTTTTGAGATTGGCTTTATGTCCAAGATGTTATAATTACTGATTTTATTTTATTTTATAGTTTTAGAATTATTTCTTTCCCCTGCTCCTGCTCTCTCTCTTTCTCTCTCTCTCTCTCTCTCTCTCTCTCTCTCTCTCTCTCTCTCTCTCTCTTATTTCCTTTCCTTTCTAGTATATATTCTCTACTGTTTGAAATTTGGACTTTCATATCTCCTTCCAGGTGTGTGCCAGACCTGGTTCCCCTCTTCCATTTTAAACATTATCGTCATGCAGTTCAGGCCCTTTGAGCCTATAACTTTCTAAATACCGCAAACTTAGGATGCACAAGGCCCTGAGATCAGTCTCTGGCTCCAGGGATGGACACACACACACACACACACACACACACACACACACACACACACACACACACACACACAATTTTATTTGTAAATACTCTTTCTTGCATTCCAGCTATCTTTGGGAGAGAGGAACTAGCTTTAAAATACCTTCCTGTGGGGCTAAAGAGATGGTTCAGCAGTTAGAAAAGCTTG